CAGAGAGCCATTTGGTTATGGAGATGGTGAGACCGAATCTGATCACAATTAGTTCATCATGTTCCATGGCTGTGGGGATGGAAAATTATTATCCTAGAGACATGGAATCCAAAACTAGATTCAATGGAAATAATGGAAGATTTAATATATAATCTTTTCCGTACGTGGCAAAGAGCGACAATGTGGGCGGAGAAGGGGCATACTAGATGGTCCAGATTTCACTGACAAGATTAAGCAACAATCCAAACAGTCATCTTAAACAAATGGGCACAAACCAAAGAAAAAGTTCAATTTATTTCCACAAGATCTGAAAACCAAACACATATTCGGAAATTCAGTCACAGCTGGCAGGGCAGAAACCAAGGAGGGAGGTTGGGGAAAGTCAAATGGGATGGGGTAATGGGTGGTGATGGAAAAGAGATTCGAAGGGATTACAGATTGGGGATTGGACTATTATAGATGCTTCAGTGCCCGTGCGCCCTTTGTCGGAATTCCCTAACGCTTTTCCTCCTCGTGCAACAGTCCTCGTTCCCAGTTCTTGGTATGGAATTTAGAGACAACTTTCTTAGGCAAATGCCTTTTAGGAGAAACACAGCGAGGTCTAATAGACTTTTCCGGCGCCCTGAGAAAACAGTGAAGAAGCAGTGCTTCTCTCATTATTCTTCTCATCCTTTCAATATTTACCATATTTCAATTGTGAGGGACGCTGGACCTGTTTTCCAGCAGGTGAAGCTCCCCACCAATAGATGGAGCCTCCACGGGAGAACTAGTGGTGTGTGCTCCTATCAGCACCACCAGCTTCACCCTGGGTATGAGGATTAAAAAAAAAAAAAAAAAAAAGTAGACTAGGTCCGGTTCTACCCTTACTAGTTGTGAGTACAGTCAGACCAGGACGCCCCTACATGCCACTGACTTTCCGTCCACAATATCTACATTAACAATTACCACCGTATATCTGTTCTCTCCTATCCATCAAGTTAACTCACAGGGACACTGGACCAACATGCAACAGGGGCACTGCAGATGCATGGGACTGAGCTTGGACCAATAGGCTATAAGATAGGGGGTCGTAACAGACAAATTTCCAGGTGGGGGCTGGGTCAGTAGGAAGTAGGAGCTCTACAAGTAGGGAGGGTGAGCAGCCAACAGGGAACAATGGTGCTCCAGGAAACGAACTGACATGGCCATGGCCCCAACAAGAACTGTACTCAGAAGATGTATCCAACGGGACGTTGGGCACGATTTCCAGCAGGTGTTGCTCTCCACCAATAGATGGACCAGCCCGACAGGCAAAGCCTCGATCCCGGTGGTTCTCTTACCATCACCGAGGATAGAGGCCTAGCAGAAGGGCCTTTCTTTTGGGGGAGGGGGGGACAAGGAGGGTTTGTTAAAGGAAGGTCGATCTTCGAAAATGTAGTCACAGCTATTGAAACACTCGAAGTAGCCCTGAGCAGTTCCCAGACATGTTTCCTCCGCCAGCCACGACAATTGTAGAAAGACAATGGTTTGGGTATCTGTAAGGAGGTGGTGTGCTGGTAGAAGGTTAGAAAGGGCTGAAGTTGTTTTTCTTCCTTTTCTTTTGACATTTCTGATATTTTGCTCAGGTCAATACTCAGGCTCACAGGGGAGGGAAGAATCAGTGGGTAACAGCTAGCATCTGGCGCCTGTTTTCGGGTGAAGAGATCCTCTCCCCCTCTGTCTAATCTCCTGCTCAGTCAATCCCCTGGATGCCAGGGTAATCAATGCTGGCAGGAACTCTCCACAGACGTTTCTTGGTATGAACTCATTCATTGTGTATATGGGACGCTGGACCCGTTTTCCAGCAGGTGATGCTCCCCACCAATAGATGCACCCCCCCAGGTGCTAGTGGTGTCTGCTCCTACCAGCACCACTAACACTATAGGGTTAAAAGAAAAAGGAAAAAAAAAAAAGAAAAAAAGAAAAAAAAGAAAAAGAAAGAAACACTCGAAGTTGTAGACGCGGAAGATTTGGTTGAGACTGTTCTGCTGCCAAACCTGGAGAAGGTGTACGACAGAGTCAATTGGGCCTTCATTAGGACTACCCTCAAGGTGATGAACTTTGGGAATGTCTTTTGTAGTTGGGTCAAAGGAGAGTTGAGACACTCGAAGTAGTAGAGGCGGAAGATTTGGATGTGACTGTTCTGGTGCTAGACCTGGAGAGGGCCTAGGACAGAGTCAATTGGGCCTTGGTTAGGACTACCCTCAAGGTGGTGAACTTTGGGGATGTCCTTTGTCATTGGGTCAACGGGAGGTGCTCTGAGGAATTTCCTCTCACATGAAATGTTTACAATTCTTTCAGACAAAAAAAGGACTCTTGACAATGTCTGACCCTGCGCAAGGATGACAGCTCTTTAAACGTGTCAGGGTTTCAAGAGTGGTGTGGCAAGCCTCTCCATCCTAGTCTTCGGGCCCACACAGAGGATGCCAGCTGGCCCGCGAGCAGCCAAACGCCTGGGACCAAATTGTTGTGGTTCGCTGGCTATGGGTAGCACTGCTGGCTGGGCTGGGTTTCAAGAGTGGTGTGGCGAGCTCCTTTATCATAGTCTTGGGGCCCAGAAAGAGGGTGCCGGCTGGGCCGCGAGCAGCCAGACCCTCGGTACCAAAATGTTGCGGTCCGATGGCTATAGGTATAGCACTGCTAACTGGGCTGGTCCCATTCGCGTCTGGCTTCGCCGATTTGCTCCAGATCAAGCGTAGATCAACGGAATCGGACGGCTGAGGTGAAAAGGCTTACCAGACTGCTGCACACTATCACTTTCCTTAATGTATCTGGCTACAATTACAGCCAAACCTCGATGCATCTGAAAGCAATCACGTCCACAGCTCAGTCGAAAACGTGCTAGTGTGAGTATCCTCAAGGACGGAACGATCTTGGTGCGGTTCTTTCACATTCGACCAGGCCAAACAAGGGGCCTAATGAGATTCCACTACACAACGTTCTACATGCATCTGGACTGGATTGACGAATTGTTTCAATGTTCCGGGACCTTAACCGCCTCTTGATACATTTAAAATACATTTAAAATGTTGGGCAGTGGATCAGCGTCCCAGGGATAGCAAAGATAGCGCGGGGCGGGAATATTTCATAACGAAAAAAAGAACGGAACTGTGCGACGGCGATGATGTCGCCGGCCCCGGGGGTTCGCATCATGGAACCGAAGCGCACGCCGCTCCGCATCATGTCGCGACACCGCTTGTCCGCCTACGGCTGCGCTGCCGCCTTTGGCTGCGGCCCGCGCTCTGACGCTGATCGGACTGCACAATAGCTACTGTCGGCCTGCCTGTATGGTTCCATGGGCCTCGGCGGGACAAGGAGGCCTTTCAGTCCCGCGTGTCTTACGTGGAAAACGCCGATTCGTGCCTCTATATTACGTGGAAAAACATGAGTTTTCAAGTTTTGAACTTGTGCCAGTTCACAGTCACGACGAATGGCTCCCCCCGAGTGTCTGTCCTCCTGCGTTCGGCTCGTCGACTTTCTAGACTTGTGGAGGAGCTGAGAGAAGGGAAGAGGTGGAAACCCCTCTGCGGACGAAGGGGAAAAGAAGGGTGAGATTGAAAGGTCAATGGGTATGGGTCTGCGCAAAGGGGCGAGACGAAGGCGGGAGTGGAAGTAGGAGCAGCAGGGTAGAGGAGGCGGCGAAGGAGGTCGTCATCAAGATTGTTCGGCGGAAAGAGAGCGTAGCGCAAGGGGCGCAAGGCGGGAGCGAAGCTCGAGCACTCGCGCAAGCGCATTTGCGCGCCTACGTGCCGAGTAGATCACCTGGCCGCATGGAATAGTCGGTCGCTTGTCCACGTGGGCAGTGTCCTTCCCCACGTGAGCGGCCAAGTCACCAGCTTACGTCCATAGCACCACCTTTCCGTCGACAAGTCTGCAAGAACGGCGTTTCGTGTTTCTCGCCCTTCGCTACCTGCCGTTTCCGTCGTAGTTGAAACATACTACCGGTAAGTGCCGCGCTCTGTACCAGCGTCATCATTGCAACCTAGAGAGAGGTAGGTAAGTTGGGCAGTCGTCGTGCCATTGCCTAGGTCCGGACGGGGCCACGGAAGCAGGCCGTCTTGGTGGTCTGTTTCCTTCCCCGAGATTACCGCGCCATGACGGCAACGGGATGGAAGTGGGCGTGATGATCTTGCATTGAGGAAGCGGAGGGGACTCGACGAAGATCTCGCCGGCAACCGAGTGAAAGCGACATGTGCTGTTAACCCTCTCTCAGGGGGAAAAGCTGGGATACCTCTCTCATCAAATCGTCTTCAGTCATCCCTTCGTTTCGTACCTGTCGATGTCGACATGTTTTGAGGAGAGATCTGCAATGTAGGTGGGAAATCAGACGCTCCTTTTCTCTCTTTTTTTCAATCTCCCTCCCTCTCTCTCTCTCTCTCTCTCTCTCTCTCTCTCTCTCTCTCTGTTGCCCTTCCCACTCGCGCGTCCCTTAAGGCAACTGTAGTTTCCTCTCAGACGTCCGGCGGCTGTTCTTAACGACGAGTTTTCCATGTGTGCCTTCCCTGGAGAGAAGGCGGCTATCAAATTTATCGCAGGTGGCTCCCCTTTTCTTGCCACCATTTTTTTAATTTAAAATGGTATATCGTAGTTTTTGTGCTGATGCGTTCGAGCCTCGGCACTTCTAGATATCTCGGTATTTTCGAGAGATTCTGGACTCGTCCAAGGTTCAGAGCATACTCACACTAGGACTTTTTTTTACTTATTTGTGGAAAATTGCGGGCACATTCATCCAGGAAAAGAACAGGAGAAAAAGACAGAGTGGAGGACGTCAGAGAGAGATGTCTGTAGTGGCGACCGGGTGTCAGTGGGAGGAGGCGTTACGTTGTTAGTAGAGCGGAGGAGGAGGGAGAGGAGACGAACAGGAGGAGCGGAAGTAGATCGATGCATGTGTCTTACGGCAGAGCAGAGAGAGAGCCTGCTAGCCCTGCGGCTGTGGTCTGCTAGGGAATTCTAGGTGTAGGTGTCCTGCGGACAAGTGGAAAGCGACGTAAGAGGAAGAAGAAGGAGAAACGAAGAAAGAGGGAACGACGAGGCGGCGGCGGCGGCGGCGGTAGAAAGACGGCGTCTGCTGAGAGCGCCGTGCCGCTCTTCTTCATCACCCTGCCGCCATAGCCTATGGCGGCAGGGCTTAGTCGGGATCGAGATCCGTTATGTCGCATTCGGCTGCCTTGCAACAGCAACAGCCCGACACGTGTCCTTTTGGTTGATGCTCTGCCAGTTATATCTCGCTCTATACGTTCCCCTTCGTGCACGAGTCATCATCATTCGGCGTCAGCAACGTCGTCGGCGTCGTCGTTCAGCCCGTTCCCTTCTTCCGGTCGTGGCGGCTGCGAAACTTCTTCGCAGGCGCGCTCCGCGCACCTGTTGTTAGCGCCTCTTCCTTCCGACCCATCTTCTCCGCTCATTTACCACGCTCCACGGGTTGCGCTCGACCCCCCTCTTTCTGACGACGATCCGTCCGCTGTGCTGGTGTCGGCCCAGTCGCCACGTGTCACGGTAGAGGGAACACGTCAGCATCGCCGGCGCGATGAGGTGTGCCGCACTGCACCGACGACGGGCGCGGCCCCCGAGGATCGAAGAGGGGGAACTGCTGTTGCTGGTGGCGTGCGTCAATTAGCGTTAGGAGTGGCGAGGGGAGAAAGAGCAGCAGGTGAGGGTAGAGGAGGACGCGAGGGAGGGGGTGGAGGAGAGGAGGGTGGTACAGCCGAACGTGGACCGTGGACCAAGGCGAGCGCCAGGGGGCGCACACCCGCGCTTTCGGGCTCTGGCGGGCGCAATAAGAGCCAGATAACTCCGGCGGCGTTGGCGGCTGCGCCAGTGTGCCGTTCCGCGGAAGTATTATCGGGGGCGTTGGGGGAATTGGCGGCGGCGGAGTGGCGGGCAGGGGGGGGGGGGGGGGGGGGGGGGGGGGGGGGGGGAGAGGGGAGAGCCGTCTTCGTCTTCTTCCGAAGGACTACCATCGGGTGTCAAGTGGGGATTGACCAGAAGCGGTGGTGGAGTGGGGGGGGGGGAGGAAATAAGGATGGTGGGTTGCCTTGGCGGACGAGGAAGGGGAAGCATGCCACGTGGCGGTGATCGGACACCTACTAGTGCGTTTTCCAGCTCAGCACCGTCGTCGTCCTCGAGTTTGTCAGGCCCGGCTGGCCCTCATTCTGAGCAGGACTCGATCCCACACCAGCGGAACGTGTCCCCCTTCCGTCGCATCTTTGCTGCCAACGGCGCAGGCCGTGTGTCGCCCTTCCGCCCGCGGCGAGCGTCAACGTCGCACACGAACGAGGACTCGTCGCAACGGGTGACAGGGGCCGGCGGCGACTCCTTGGCGGCGGGTATCGCCCATTCCGGTCCGGTGGCGGGGAGTGGGGAACTCTCCGCTCCTTCCTACTCTCCAACCGTGTCATCTGGGCCTTCCCCCTCGATCTCCCTTGTTGCGAGGGTGGGGGGAAGGAACTACGTTCGGGGTGCTGGAGGCAACAGCGGTCGAGAGCGCGGAGGGGATGGAGTGAATGCCATTGTTGCCCTGGAACCGGCAATGGTTGTGGTCACGGGAATGGACGACTTGGACAGCGACGAAGAGGACGAGGAGCTGGAGGGAAGGGGAGGCAGGCGGGGTGTGGCGGTAGTGAGCGGGCATCGCCAAGAGGAGCGCGAGCGACATCGGCAGGGAGAACATCCCCAGCAGCAAGAAGGGGATTCGCTGCTTCAGCAATCAGAAAGAACGGTAGACCGTGTGCTTGACAGGGTGGCGGGGCTTCAGCAATCAGAAGGAGCGGCAGAGCGTGTGATTGACAGGGTGGCGGTTCGAGTCTCGCAATCTCAGCAGCACACGCCGCTCAGCGCTAACAATCATTCTCATCATCGTGCGAATGTAAGTACCCACAACAGCAATGGCCAAAGCGTTCAGAGTCGTGGAAGTGATGCGAATAACGAGAATTTCCAGCAACATCATTATCAGAGTGCGTCCAATCATCTTCAACATCATCATCCTGCTCAGGGTTCGTCGCTGCCGACTGCCTCGCGGAAGATAGGAGATTTGGCTTGGGAGGAAGACATACGGAGCAGCAAGGAGTGGTTGAATCCGGGGGTCTACGTAGTGGGTGAGCTGGTGATCGTGCGGCGGAGCACGGACGAGTGGCGCTACGCGGAGGTGATCAGTGTCGCGCAGGACGGGGTGCAGCTTCGTGTGGGACCTGGTTTGACGAAAGACGTGGCCACTCGGCTGATCAGCACTCATGTGAAGAAGCTAGCAGCTCGAGGGGTTGTGTCCGTGTCTGCTGACAATGTGGTCCCCGCCGGGGGGAACTCGGGCATAACAGCGGCGGCGGCATCAGGGGGAGCAGGAGGGGGAGGAGGAGGGGGAGGAGG